GGGGGGAGGGAAGGGGCCTGACGACATGTACCCAGAACCGCCCGCGACACTGTTTTGCATCATCCGGGCATTGGGATCTCAACCCAGAATTCCAAGGGGCGGCGGAGACTGTGGGAACTGTGGGATAGCTGTGGGATAGCTACCCATAGTGCAATGCTCCGAAAGTCGACACTAGCCTCGTACTGTGGACGCGGTCCGCCGACTAGAGCACCTAGAGCATTTTATGTGGGGACATACACAATCGGCTGTATACAACCGATTTCAATAAAACCGGCTTCTATAAATTCGAACTAATTTCGTAGTGTAGACGTACCCTCAGACACTCAGGGTGTGACCTGCAGGCTGTTGGTCTGGTTCTCAGGAGCCCAGGGTGGAAGCGACAGCAGGAAGCACTGGGAGGCACCCCAGGGTGCAGGGCAGGCGGTGACACAGCTGCTGACCGGTCTGGACTCACTGTCCCAGCAATATTAACCCACAGGTGAGCCAGGCCGATCCCAGCTCCGTCTCTGTCAGTGTTCAGCTGAGACACGGGGACCCTGGCATGTGCTGGCACCTGGTCTGCCAGCGTCACAGTCACACTTCAGGTGGGACAGCGGCTGTGTCTGAAACCCATCACTGCCTCGCTCTGCCCGGGCCAGTGTTCGCATCCTCGCCTGCCTCGTCTACACACCCTGCCACTGGTTTAACTTTCGCTGTTTCACTTTCACTCACACCTGACACCGATCAGCTCACCCTGAACGGCTGTACACCGGTCACAGCCTGCAGTAAGAGCGTCCACTGGGGGGTTGTGTTGGGTTACTGAACTCGGTTTCAGTTCACACCTTTAGTTAAACCAGAGCAACCCTGTGTAGACAAGTCCTCACCCCCACCCCCTCCTCCCACCTGCTGGATCGTGGGACCAACGCAGGAACAGCCAGTCCCCAGTTCCCAGCCAGGGAACGTCCGAGCACTTCTCCTGTCCTTACCGAGCACACGGAGGGTCGTCTGTCCCTGCAGCTGCTCTGTACCGTAACCAACGACGCATTTATACAGCCCCTCATCCGACACCATCACACTGGAGAGCGACAGGGATGCGTTCCCGTTCTCCAACTCCTGCTCCGACACGCTCGCTCTGACCTGGGATTCTCCCCTGCCCTGGTTGTACTGCGCGATCCTCTCCTCCCACAGATACCACTGAACCCGCAGGGAGCTCAGATCGACCGGCCCCCTGATGTCGAACCGACATTTCAGCAGCGCCCCAGAGCCCAGCAGGGCCCGAGAGGAGGGATCTGTGAATATCTGCAGCCGGGAACCTGTGCAGGGAAAGAGAAAATCACGCTCTGGGGCTCGGTGCAGGGCTGGGCCAGGGGGAGGTCGCTACCTGGGGATGGATGTGCCAGTGATGGGATCTGGTCCCGCAGGGAGGGGAGATGGTGGGGTACCTGGGGCAGGTGCCGGCTGTGCTCTGGCTCCCCTGGGTGTATCAGTTACTAGACACACACACCCCTTTCTCCTTCCCAAACCGTCCCATACGGGGTCCCTCCGAGCCAGGACAATGCAGCAAAGGGAGGTTTTGCAAATAGCTCTGGGCTTCTTCCCGCATTCGCTCCAGCGGCTGAGGCCAGGCAGAGCTGGGCAGTGACTGACCCACATGTACCCAGGCCCCGTCCCCGGGACTTCACTCTGCTGGGGAGCCCTGGGGCCCTGCCCTGCCCTCCCCCAGGACACCAGGGGTCTGTACTTACCGGCCACCCCGAGGACGAGGAGGGGGATGAGGAGAACACCCAGCCCCATGGTCCCTGCCCTTCATCCCCCCAGAGTCACCATCTCCGCACCTGGCAGGGCCCGTAGCGAATTCCCTTTCGCTTTCCATGGATCACAGGGAGCGGCTGTAACACCGGGCAAAGGGCAGAGATAAGAGTTTATAGTTACTGGTCCCGTGACACCCAGACACTCACCGAACCGGAACAGCCAGAGGGAAGGGCCCAGCCCCCCGCCCATGACTCCCTCCCCGCTAGGCTGGGGGTGAATCCCCTGGGGTCGGGGGGGCTGGATCCCCCCAGGAATGGTTATGGGGCTCAGCCCCCATCCCACCCTGTGCTGGCTGTGGGGTGAAGTCCCCCACCCACCCCTGGGGATTCACCCCTGGAGGAAAGAGGAGGGTTTGGCCCCAGTATGTGGGAGGCTGGAGTCCCAGGAGGCCCCGTCTCTTCCCTTGGGGGGCTCCCGCTCAGTCAGGGGCTGCCCTGCGGGCAGAGGTGAACCTATTCTTGCCCGTCCTGCCCCGGGGTGAGGGCACCCCTGGACCTTGTTAGTACCCCAGGCAAAGGGGCCCCGTGTGAACCCCAGACACCCCGCTGAGATGGTGTGACAGGAGCGATGGTCCAGCCGGGCTGAAGGGGGGTCAAGGCGGAGGCTGGGGGGTGCCCAGAAACCCCTAACAGCTCTATGACTTGCTGTGCTTGGGGGGGGGTGTTTTTTCACACCCCTGAGCGAGACAGTGGCAGCGCTGTACAGCGCCCGTGTAGCCAAAGCCTCACACTTGCGTCTCCTCCACCTCATCCTCCCCACGCGCCACCCAGCCGAGTGTTAAACCCCTGCCTGGCTCTGCCTCTCCCCCACTGCCACTGCCCAGGGGGGAGCCGTGGGGGTTACTGGCTGTAAGGGGGATTACGGGGTGTGTGGGA